CAGACTGTATCTTCCAGACTGCTGCAGGGTCCTGGGAACTGCTGAGTATCCCCAGCAGTCTGAACAGCTTTGAAACCGTGGACCAGTTGGCCAGTATCTAACAGATCATCTTATATCCAGAAAATTCTGCATCAGTCTGATTTATGACGGAAACCCTGAAGAGTAGGTTCCCACTGGTAAAATGATTGGTTGCGCCGTGTTTTTTTAAAAGAATCAGCATTGGGCAAACTCCCTTCTTTAACTGCGGAAAGTTATTCACAGAAAAGTGATTCTGAAAAACCTTCACAAAAAATGGTGATTATAGTTGCTTTAGAAAGCCACCTAGCTTGTTCCAATATCTTTCCCAGACTGGTAAAATGCACACCCTTCACTATTAAGGAAGGAAATTAGAAAATTGAGAAAATTGTTTTTCTTGTTAAATACATATGGTTATGAGCACTGCTGTGAGAAAGATTTTTTTTTTTCCTCCCCATTTGATTTGATTTGAAACAGATTTTCTTTCAGGTAAGGAAAGTTGTTTCAAATTAAATGAAATGCTTTGTTCTCAGATTAGCTAAATCCCCTATAAACGCTGGGCAATCTTGACATGAAAAGTCAGAACATTTTATTTAGAAAGTACTGAAATTAATATTTTGACATTACTAAAACCAATTTCCTATTATTTTGTTTTTCCTTTGGCCATAATTGTTAGTTCAGTTTGACCCAAATTAACAAGTCCTTTGGTTTCCTGCCATAAATGCATTCTTAGCAAATCTACATTTCAGTGTAGAATTATTACCTAACTGAAGTTACAAGAGCAGCCTGTTCACAGTAGTAGCTGGAGTTGCTACTATGGTGCAGGCTCATCGCCGCAACAGCAGCCAGCCAGTCCGGAAGGGCAATTAAAACTAAGCTGTGAAGCAGACAAGATAAGCCATAAAGAGTAGAAAGGATCTGCATGGCAAATGGGGTTAGTCTATTGATTAGGAACTCCGACTGCACAGTCAGCAGTTTTCTTATTCCTGTTTAATGTGATCGGAAATTAGGCTGCATCCAGATAAGTTAATGGGAAATCACTATCTGAAAAAGAGGCCAAGGTGAAATATTGAAGTTCTTTGGGAAGGTGCAGAGGGATGATAATCATTCAGTAAAGAGACGTAACACTGAATTTAGTTAAGAAAGATGGAATATACAAATCCAGTACAGATCTGGGCATCTTAGCTATCAAAAAACTACAATACGCTATTCTCAATCATAGGGCTATCCACCAGCCACTGACACAACGAGGAAGCAGGAAAACAGGACAAACATTTAATAAAGGGCAGAAATTGAAGTGTGCCTCCTCACAGCTCTAGCATTGCACTCAGAGAATTGGCAAGAGAGAAACTTCGGAGTAAAAAAAAGACTTTGATATGAGTCTGGAAGAACATACGTACCTAAAACTAAACCTCTGTTTCTGAAAATCATCCAGCCATTTCAGGACACCGAAATCTTCACATTTGGCTAGGATTAAAACACATTTTTCCCCACTATTCTGCAAAAAACAACCAGCCACCTTTACAAGGATAATCATCCTCTACCACTGCCCACCCCCACCTCTTTTTCTTTTACAGCTCTCATTTCACATCTACTCAGACACAAACTGAAGGTGCATTGGCCCAGAGAAAACACAACACTTGAGTCTAGTGGGATGGAAAATGATGTACAAGAGAAGCATGCTAGATCCTACTCATCTTCAGGGTCATTTCTGCATTTTATGCAGCTCTAGGATAAAACACACAAAGCAACACACAAAGCAACATGGAAGCCCTATGGAGCATTGCCATATGATTTTTTTTTGCAAGGTGTCTACCCCTCTGACTGCTCGTAAAGCAATATTAGAGAATCACGTGTGCTACACCAGCTAGAAAACCCTTTGCAAAAGCACTAAACTCTGGGCAGCTTCTGAGACCCAGGACTGAGTTCAGACTCCCTACAAATCCCACACAGACTCGTGGCAATCAGAGACACAGCTCTTTTTCAAAAGATGCTCGCTTTGAGTATCAACAGGGGTGCCCACAGCATCCTCCTAGCAAGTGATGCTACACTGACTGTTATTGGGTCTTGGGTGCCACTATCTACAGCAGTTAGATGGGGCTGTATGAAGGCTACACAGGCAATGAAACTGGAAAATCCTGAGCCTGTGACCAGAAACTCCTCTCAGAAAATCTTCACAAACAAGCCATGTCTTGTAGTCTGACACTCCAACCAGAAGTGTAATCTTTCCTTGTAAAGGAAGGAGAATTGATCAGTTGGTATGCTTTAGGCAACCAACTGATTTTTTTTAATACAATTTTATTTTTTAAAAAAGGAAATCCAACATAATTAAAAATAGCAAACTTACTAATTGAGCTGCTAATCTTGTTTCTATTCCTAATTTTAAAAAACCAAGAAGTAGGAGAGATAAGTCTGTGCTTATGTACAGTGATGCAGGCACATTAAGAAATTATGCAGAAAGAAACAATTCAGGAAACAGGCACAAAGCAAAAAAGAATATTCTTTCTAGCACTGAAATGAAAGCTAATGAGCCCTCGCTCATGCAAATAGGATCAAATTTGGTCCATATTGCACAACTGTCCTCCATCCAAAACATTAGCAAAGAGCAAGTTAGCTGGTTAACTGCCAGGTACTACTGTCAGTCCCTACAAGAGCAACAGCAGAAGCACATCTAAATTGGATGCAGCAACATTTGCCAAACCGTGTTGTCTGATACCTTTAAGAAGTCACTTTTAGAAATACTACTTTTAGAACTGGAATGACAGTGGTAGCTTTGAACATGGTGCTATTAATATCTTCAGAGCAGTAGCAGCCTTGCTCAAAGGCAGCATAGTCTTCAGGACAGGCCTGTCTCTCTTCTAAAAGGTACATCAATACCAGTCTGTGAAGAAACTAGTTTTAAAAAAGGGTAATAAAGAGTGCCAAACCTGATGGAGCAGCATAGAAACGTAAGAGAAAGGTATGGCTAGGTGCTCTCGTGCTGGGAAGGGAGAAGAGATGGAAGGTGAAAAGGGAGAGGATGAATTTCAAAAGTGACGCTATGGCACACAGGAGCCATAAAATATTACTATGGGAAAGGCAGAGGAAATTAAAGGCCAACAGCAGTCTTGGAAGATCCAGCAATAAAGCAAGCCAAGGGATTCTGTACCTTGGCTGATGAAGCAACTGAAAATGCCTCTGAATGCAGCTTGTGCATGGATTGCTAAAAGAAGCTCAAGAAGCTCTAATGTTTTGTTTTCCTTTTTCAAAGAAAACATCCAACCTCCTTCCACTCCACTAATCCCATCACAAGGAAATCACTCTATTTTCTAAATTGATTTATGTTCAGTATAAACAAACTCTGTGTGCCACTATCTTCAGAACTCAACTGCAGTTCATCCTTGTTGTAGCCACTTTGTATTTTCATGAAGATAGAACAGAGAAGAAAAACAAAAATATTTTCATGCTCATCATTTACGTAAAAAACAAACAGAAGAACAAAACAAACCAAACCCAAACCCTTTTTTTTTTTTTTTTTTTCCTTTCTGCTACATAGGTCTTGAACACAAACTAAGACACACTCCCCGTCAGCTTCCACCATCCTATTTCAGCTACCATTTACCAAGCACTGCAAGAGTTAGAAAACAAGGAGGGTAAGGGGCAAACGGGAATATCTGAAAGATCACAGGACATATTTCATTCAGTATCCCCCTTCCCCTCAAGAGTTAATCACCTCTGAGAGATGTGTCTAACTTAAAGCCATTAATTGTTTCTAACCACCAGAACTGTCATTCATAACACATTAGCACACAGGATTTTTTAATAACCTCTGCTATACATAATTTCATTTGTGATGCATACTTTCATTTTTATTTTAAATTCTAAATTATTTCCAAGAAGTGACATGAAGGGTGATATTTCACCTGTGGGATTTTTAAAAATTATTTTTATTTTTTAAAAGTCAGGTGAACAGCTGGACTACAACTCAAACACCAACTAAAAAAACCCAAACTCTAAATACTAATAGTACAGGGAATGGCTTATGCATTCCTTAGTGAAACATACCCTTCCGTTCCACTCTACCCCCAAAATGAAGAATTTTCTACTTTTAAACAGATAAATCAGAACTATCATTTATGTAATAGCAAATATGCAAACCAGAATACCTTCCACTTACATCTCTGGATTTGCTGCCTTTTGTTTAATAATATAAACACACACACCAACTGTTAACAGATAACATGCAGATTTTTAAGTTACCATTAACGGCTCAGTAGTCCTATTCAATAAGAAAGGGATTGCGTATCTGAAAAACCTGTTGCCTTTAAAAATGAATGAAATTAGTAACACAGTAATCTTCAGTGCATCGCATTTGCATAAAATTAAATACGGGTCCCATCAAGGCAACTCTATATTCACGCGAGCGGTCCTGTTCAAGTAACCAGCATCACTTGCATAAGTAATATCCTGTACTTCGCATTTTAAGTTAAGGCATCGTAATTTGATTGGTTGGTTGTACAACGAGTAACTGATACACCTTTTGATTTATGCCTGTTGGAACACTTCTGCTAAATTCATAAGCTTCAAACTGCTTTAATAACAACTTGTAATTAAAAGGACACAGACAACCTTTTCCTCAGTAAATGTTACCCCATCACTTGGAGATCGATTTGGAAGTCACTTTACTGTGTAGCTTTTGTCAAAGCCTTTATTTCCCCCCTAAAACAACGATTCAATAAAAACAAATGAAAACAAGAAACAAAGCCACTATTTCATGCCTTTATAACTGTATTTTTCCACATCCATTAATAACTTGAATTTCTGCTTTTAACTCACTTAGGAAATGCCATCATCATAAACTGCACATTGCTCAGGACTCTTTAACTACTTAATTAGCTACTAAAACACTGCGAAGGAGCTGACGTTGTATTAGAAGAGAAGCAAAATGAGCCAAACTCCACGCATCCCCCACCCTCTTACTCACAAGCGTTTGCGTGAGCCCTTACCTGCTGGGTAACGTTCGATAACTGGCCAGTTGTCCACCTGTAACGTGGCATTGCCACCACTTCTTGTGAAACGTACTACATGGTATTTTCCATCATTAATGATTGCGTTGATCTCTTCAATAGAGATGTCGTCAGTTCCAACATTAAATTTAACTCCAATTTTTCCCTGGTGCTGCATATTTAAAAAAAAAAAAAAAAAAAAAAAGAGGAAGAAGGAAAAGAAGAACTAATTAAGAGTTGTTTTAGCAAGAAATAGAGACAGCGTGTCATACAGGGAAAGATTTCTAACAACATCTTCCCCCTCAGATCTATCTTCTGAAGGCTTGCATGTGGCAGTGACAAGCCTCCTGACAGCTCAGTAAGTCCGGGACATCTCTTTGATGGATAATTGATATTCCAAATGAGTTATTTCACCAAACTGAGTTCTCTCCTTTTCTAAGAGATTCAGACCACGATGAGGAGTGGGGAAGGAGGAGGAAAGTTCAAGTTTTCTTTCTTCGTCCCCTCCCTCACCTCCATGAGGATTAAACACCATTCTTCCTCTTAGGCTTTTAAAAGCCTTGCAGTGTCACTTGGAAGAGGTATGAGGGGTTTCTGGCTATAAAAGCCAAGGCCCAGCCCTGCATCTCCTTTCTGCAAACCTCATTTATACTCAGTGTCTTCACAAATGATAACAAAGGAGGAAACTTTTTGTTTTTTCTAATGGAGAGATTTTTTGCATCACACTGTAGTAGCTCCAAATCATTGAGACACGAACAGACCGATTGACTAATAAGGACTTTTCTGATCAGAGCCAGTGAGGGGTGAAAGGCATTTATGACACAGGGACAGCATCTTGTTCCCACTAAGGACTGAGACACTGATTTTTTTTTGCTGGGATTTGCCTGTAAGCTTCTCTGCCTGAGCGCGTGTAGGGCTAAGGGGACTTCATACGCACATTCATACTCAGGACCAAGCCTGCAGATTTTCCAGATAATGGTGATATTAGCACGTTTTCATTTTTATTGTCTTTTAATAATTAAGATGTTCATTCTAATAGGACATTTACATTTTTAAAAAGTCTTTTAATGTCTACTAAAAGTTTAACTTAAGGGCTTAATGATATTTTTTTTCCTCCTATAAAATAAATTCTATTCTTGAATAAGGACACTTACGAAATTAAGGAGAAAAAAAAGAAAAGCACTGCACAGTATGAGATTAGGGGCTTGTGCATAATAAGTGGCAATTCTATGTGAAATTTCATGTCATTGGTACTGGTTCGTCCTTCTTAATAGTTAAAAAAGTTTTTTAAGGTTTTACACTACCAGATGAAACACAATGAAACATTTCACTTTGTACCTCTTGGTCATTCATGTCAATCTTTCCAGACCCAGCTTCACCTCTCCCCTGTAGCTTTTGTGTCTGCTCCCTCTTTCTCTTACTACCCTGGCACCACTCCCTGTAGTAAGTGTATCCTGCAGCTCCTCGTCTCTAGAAGTCTCCCAAGCGAGGAACTCAAGAGTTCTTCCACTTTATTTTATTCTCTTTTTAAATACCTGACTTCGTTTTCCAACAGTGCTTGCACATTCCAGTTACACAGTTGAGCAGCTGCTGAACACCTTTGGAGAAAGTCCCTCAATGCTTTGGCACTACGCTATCACGTCTTCAGCTATGATCTTTCTTAAAATAATAAAAGGACCATTCCCTGCTGAGATTCGCAGAATGACTCTGAAAAGCATTTTTTTTATTTGCTCAGTTGCTTAAATCATGTTCTAAACATTCCTCTTTTTTTCCTTGTGGGTTGTTTTAAAATTCCTCTATTGGCTGGTCCTACTTTTCCATGCCTGTAGGGATCCACCTCACCCAGCACATGCTCACCTTCTTTCGCCTCTTGTGCGAGTTGCAGAGCAATCTCCCAGTTATCTTGGGAGAGTAACTGTAGCTCTATTTTATTTCAACTGGTTCAACTATGACTCAGAATAGATTTCATCCATTTTCTCCCATGGATGCAGTAGCTTATTTGCTTCACCTGTTTCATTCATACGCTTACTCTCTTTATACACAAATGTATACAAAGAAATACAACATTGTCCTGGCTCTAAAGTAGAGTCCTCTTTTACTAATTTATGAGATGCAGAAAAACAGCATGTAATGATAATGGCATATGCACCTTTTCACAGTACTTTCAAGAAATCAAAGGCTTTGAGGATTAAAAAAAGCTGACTAATTTTGCGGTGATTCATAATGATACTATTCATAACCTACACTTCACATACCTGCTTTCCTATTTGCTATATATATGTATATACATGTATTATTTTAGATCAAAAATTACAAGGGAAAAAAGCCACCTTTGAGTGAATAGGACAGGTGCAGGCAAAATGAAATGGCATAAAAGGCAAATATATCAGCAGCTTTTCCAAAATAAGAGAATGTGGTGCTGCAATGGTTACCAAGTTACCATTTGTAAATGGCCAGGTATTGGCAAGTGAAATGAATTCTTTGCAGACTTGAAGGCAGACCTTTAGCCTTACTTGATACATATACACTTTTTAGTGAAAAAAAGCAAGTTTCCCTGACTTCCCTACATTTGTACAGAAGTACTGTGCACAGACACCAAGCATGCAGCTGCAATAGCAAAGAATATCACCCTAATAGTTGATAACATACTATAGTGATTTTTTTGGCTCTATTTCTAACATATTTCTGTAGCTAAGAACATGAAAAACTCCATATTTAAAGGATACTTTTCATTTTTTCACACTTCTTCAGCACCTGTGGGCATTTGCGTAACCTCCCATAAAACGAGGAAGCAAATCTGGGTTTTGAGTTTAAGTCTTCCTTATTATTATATCCATATTTAAGTTTGAATTCTGAACATAATGCTAAACATGATATGGACTACAACCCCCTTGTGCACAGCCCTTTAGAACCACAAAATAAAATATGATGTAAACACCTGACAGTACATGGGCCCAGACAGACGACGACACTACCACAAAGCAGTAAGTCCCCACGTATCAGCTGAGTGGCAATAAGCACCTCTTTATGTAGATAGTGGGTTTCTTAAGCCCGTGCATAATCATGCAGTAGTTTGACTCACTGTACTCCTCCTTCACTGCAAGATAACGTAAGTCTCGTTATTTTTCATTTGTCATTGGTTAAGACCACGTGCACATACGGTTATTGCGGATCAGCTGACATACAGTAACCTGTTGAGATAACCTGATCTCAGCCCTCAGCCCTGTGATGCTTAATATAATGGGCCTGCAGCCCATGAGAAAGAACTGCTTTTTATTTTTCCTTCTTCTTTTTGGAGCAACATGGTAATGTGGGAGGGGAAGAGACTGATAAAACTGAAGCATACTAAATTACTGTTTCTGCTTTGCCAGCCTCAGTTGCATAGTGCAGTAGTAGAAACTTTCCTTTATCATTTGTTCATTCATAATAATCTTAAAAGTTATTCTTCCTATCAGAAACGGCCTCACACAAATGCTGAATGAGAGGTTCCCTTTTCAGCACCCTGATGATGGGCACTATAGAAATGTCTGCGCGTTACTAAGAACCGCAATAAGTCAACGTTACTGTTAAATGATGTTATCCTTGCCAGTGACCTGAAATAGCACAGCATTTCAGGCTCACATTTCTAGGAGGCTATGTTTGCCCACTAGCAAAGATGATCATTTCAGAGGTCCTCTGGTAAAAATCAGCTCTATACACAGGGCCCGCAGAAGCCCACCGTGCTGTTTATGGTTCTTAGCCTGTGTTTTATTTTTCTCAATCCACCCAGCTGTGGGAGAACATAGCAATGAAATCAATTCCTTTTCCTATTGTGCCTTTATCTAATCTGAACTGGGAAGACCACAATAACATAGTGGAGACACGTAGGAGATGGGAGAGTCTCCAATATTATTTCCGAGAGAGGCCAGAATATAGGACACACCTTCAGGAGAAGAGTGAAGCCTTCCAAGAAGTAGCATAATCCTTGTTCTCTGTCTCTGGAAATTATTTTGAACTTCAAATCAGAAGGCGCTATGAATACTGCTACAGCCATCACATCACCACCACCGCTCCCTGGGACAAAGCAGCGCAGGGACCTCCGATTCACCTACAGACGAGCTGCCTGACACTCTGAGCCCCAACCAGCAGCTCTTCAGGAAAGCTAAACTTTTGGTTTGGAGGTGCTTTGGCCACGTAGCTCTGCTGTTTCTGAGGCCAGGGTGACTTTCTCTCCACTGTACCACACAGGCAGATAAGCTCATTTGGTGTCATCTAACGTACTACAACGTCTACACGTTACTGCAACGTGCAATGTAGGCTTTGCCTACAGTTTAACTTCTGCTATCCAGCAACTTGTAGGAGTCCAAGCTCACAGGGTAAGGACAAATATGTTAATGGCTTCAAAGCAGCTGGATTAAAGCATGAGATACACATGTTTAGCTCCAATCCTACATTCCTAGTGTGCTATGAAATGCTAAGAGTTTTGATTGCTCAGACAGTATAGGCATGTGTGCATGCATGTATATATACCAATCATTTCAAAACATTTTGTCTTCAAAAGCACTGGCAGCTACTATTGTAATCTGGCAACTCCAGTGGATTATTTTCAAGCATGTTTTAATGAGTTGTGCACTCTAAATACTTCTACCTTGGCTTTAACAGGCTTCTGACAAAGCACCGAGAATGCTGATGAACCTGAGAACCAAGCGAGAAACATGAAATGCAAATCAAGCCAACAGCTGACAGTGCAATTTGTTCCCTGTTGGACCCTAGTTCAGTGCTACTGATCTGCCAACTCCAAATGCTGTAAAACCTATGCTAGTATAAAAAAAAAAACAAAACAAAAAACAAAAAACAAACCACAAAAAAGTGTGTGTGTGTGTGTGTGTGTGTGTATCTCCAGAATAATGATACTTCCTATAGCATCAGCAAGGTTTTACTGCTCTCTGTAGTAATAATTCTAGAATCAGTCAAACATGAGCGTGTGCAAATTTGGCACAACAGTAGTTTTAGAAAAGACCTAACAGACAACCTAAGCTCATAACTTTTACAACCTTTAACCACTTCCAAAGAAAAGTAATAATATCGTGATTCCCACAGGTGAACATAGAGCAAAAAAAAAGAATCAAGCGTACCAGCTTGCATCTTACAGTGTCAGTCCCTGAGGCACAACTTTCTGGTGAATGCGATAAC